TCGATTCTTTGATGTACAAATTATTCCTTCAAGTCTTATGAACTTTCTCCCTGGCTTTTTCCTTCTCTTCTTTTCTTTCTGCGCCTCTTCCTCCCTCTTTTTTCTGTCTTTGTAAAGAGCGGTCGCCCTTTTTTGTCAACTGCCCTAATGCCTCCTCCTTCAGTCTAATCGTAAAATAATGACAGGATGTTAGACAACGCGACCGCACTTATCAAAGAAGCCTGGCTCGTTTGGTTTCACCTGCATCCCTCCCGAGTGTATTACATTTCTTTCGATGATGGGCACTGTTATTTTGTTCGCTATAATCATTAGGGTAGCTTACAATTCTTGAATTGACGAGAGAAGGCGCGAGTCTATTGACTTTAAACAATTCTTTTTTTCCGGAAGGAGTAGTTTCGAAGAGAATCTTAATTTGATCGCCCAATTTAAAAGGACGAAATAGTCCTAATGGATCGTCAGACGTGATACACGCCGATATGGTCACATAAATACGTGTTATTAAACGAAAACGGTTAATTTAAAAGCGATACGCCAATTATATTTTGCGATCTGTGAAGCACTTTTAATTTAATCTCATCTCTCATCAATAAGAGATCTGTGGAGGTGCGAAGAGCCATGTTTTAAGGAAGCGCCATTTTACAAACGGAAAACACAATGCTAACACCTGTTACAATGTACCGACATGCGCGAAATACAATGCTTAAAGCGGCAATTAAAATACAATATTTTCAGAACTAATATCACTGATGTAATACAACTATGTAAGTTATGGTTCATAAATACTTCCTGCTTTGAGAGATCATAATCAAGAAACTACCAATATGACTAATGTTTATGTATAACTCCCTTTTTGCTTTGCTTCAACGCGTCCGTAAGGTGCGTCTGTCTATTTATAGTCACGTCTTGTACGATATGATCTATGTGCGATTGCTGGATGCGATGTATAAGTTGATAAGAGAGGCGAGATGAAGCGAAAATATCTCCGCAAATTCATATCTCTCAAATATCATGTGTGATATGAAAAAGTCGTTGTTCCCGGCGTAAATAAGGCTTTCTGAAAGGTCATTAGGCAGATACTGAAACACCACGAGACTCAACGCTCATGCACGTTCTCCATCTGTCGCTGATTTGAATCGCGTTAACTTGAATTTGAACAGGTCGAGTACAATACAAATGAAAGCGAGCGGGCATGAACTTAAATTAATCGGCGAGTCAGTAAGTTGGAAATCCACAGATAAATGCAGAATGAGAAATGAACAACATTTATGCGTAAGACGTGATAAACTTTATCGGAAAATTACATAAACCAATTGATTAACAAAAATTGAAGAAGAAGAAATGGAAATAGAGAAAGATACAAAGATGGAGCAAAAAATATCTTTATAAATGCATATCTCTCAAATATCACCAATGATACCTAAACAGTTGTACACAATTTACAAGATAGATTTAAAATTCGAATTGCGTCAGATGATTAATTGAGATTAGAATCTTGGTGCTATTTGTTCTTTTCTATATAATTCTCTGGATTACAATGATTCTGTGTGAATTATTCGTTCATTTTCAATCTACGTGAAAGAGGTTTACGTTTGAAAAGTTTTATACAGGAAAAAACCAATTTGCTAAAGAATGTATAAAGAAATGAAAAGCAAAACCACCTGATGTGGAGCGTCATACAGAATCTGTAAAGCAACGACAGGACGCCTTCCATTCTGCTTGGCATGCCACTGACAGCGGCCCGACCGTCGTCGATGGCGATATCGCTATCAGGTTAACACGTAAAACGACATGTTTTAATCCAGTCGATCTAGCCTCCACGTCTGAATCTTAATTCACGACGACGGGATTGCACAGCATGTGGCAGCTTTGTAAGCCGTTGGGAGCCGCCGCGAGCGCCGACGGGACGCAATTTCGCGGCGACGCTAAGCGCTCTCAACTTAACGATCGCGCTAACGTCGAAAAAGTTTAACGATCGCGTATAGAGGAGTACGCGCGTGAGCCCAACACGAGCATTCCGCCGTCGAGCTAATTATGTAAACGAGAATTTCGCAAAGCTATAGGGGGACGGAGAAAAAGAAAGGGAGATTCGCATTTCGCGATACCTTACACAAACGGCCTATCGCCTGGCGACATCGATCGGGATAAAATCGCGACACACCGCGCAAACGTTTCATTAGGAATCGGTATAATTAAATGTCCAAGTATAATACGCTCAATTGCGAGGAACACGAATTGGAGCATGGCGAACGACGCGATTTCGCTCGGTAAGTTAATTTACGTCGATTTGGCGCTCGACCTAATTCTCATTTCAAAGAAGCGAATTTATTCCGAAGTCGAAAACTAGAAAAATCTGGAGTTCTCAAAAGTTGCTTCCAAAGGACTATGGATGTCTCAGAAATTTGCGGAAGTTTTTAAACTAATTCTAAGAAGAGGAACTTAATCACTAACAAGTACTTGATACTTTAGATTTACAGCACATAATTTGCTACAAATTGTAGAATCCTTTTATCCTTAAGTATTTCCCTAATTGTTTATAATTTTTAGTAAATAATTCAATACGTTTAATGCATAAAAAAATTTCGTTGAATGACGGTCTAATAATAAGAATTTTTTAAATCAAAATAAAAAACGAAGGCGTAATTATTTATATTCGTCAGAAATTACGTATAAAAATATCCTATATTTTATCTGTGCTTCTATAGCTATGTTTCTACAGCTAACTTCATGTAAATTTAAAGTTTGTTCGATGTTTCTCAAAAATAATTTTATACTGAATAATTATTTATTGCAATTTGAAAGTAATGTAATCGAATATTTTGACAATGAAGTTTAATTAAATTTCTGTATTAAATTAAATTTGTACATTTGACATTCCATTTAAAATGAGTTATATACACTGTTAAAAGTAAAATGTCAATTTTAACATTTTTGCATGTCTGAGAAAGTCCACTATCTTCTAAGTCTTTAAATTAAAATTAACATCCTATTTTTAATGGTGTATGATTCTTTCGAAACTTTTTAACACCAATGACATTTTTCATAGCAGAAAAATCGCACAAGCGATCGTGGGATCGTTAAGCGAATCTAGTTTGACATAAAGGAAAGGTATTAAACGTGAAAATAAACTTAGCTCATGCTACGACGTGACGCTATAAAGGACGTTCGGTGGACGACGTTCGATCAGAGCAGACTTGCAATTACGCGCGTTCCTGCCGTTGCCAATAAAACTATTTATCATGGCGAAGAGAGGATGGGAGCTTTCATAAATCCCGAAATAACCGGCGGGTCGATCTGATACACGCTCGCGTGCACGACTGACGTTCATGAACGAAATGCTTCTCCTCGACATAGAAATCATTATGCAATTATAACGAATCTAACCGCCGCATACTTTTGCGGAACCGGCGAAACCGCCAAGTGTGTTATCCGACGCGGCATGCCGTTGGAGAAGAACTATGAAATTACTGAACAAGAACGTCGGTCTGATAATAAGCAGAATTTTTCTTATCCAAACCAGTAAAGATGTAATTTATATTCGTTAGAAAGTTGTACGAAAATATAAAAATATTTCAGATATTAATAAACGTTTCTAAGCATAGCCATAAATCTTTCTACAAATTTAAATTTATTTGATACTTCAAAAAAATTTCACATTGTATTATATTTTTAATCAAGTATCTTGATGATTAAGTTTAATTAAATTAAATTTCTATGAAGCGCACATGCCAGTTGCAATTATCTTAATATAATATTTTGTTATTTATCGATAAAAAATTTTACACAATCATTTAAACAGTCACTCAGTGCAATTCTTAAGCTATATAATTAAATACTTTCTCGAATTGAACATTTTGATAGTTAAATTTAATTAAATATCGTGATAGTGTTAAGCTTAATTAAATTAAATTTCTGTGAGAAGAGACACAGAAATTTAATGCTAGTTGAAATTGCCTCAATACAATTTTTTGTTATTTATTGATTATTACCTCTTTTTTAAACGAAATATTTTTCAGAATCTCTATTTTAATCAATTCTTCAAATTTTTCTAATTTTAATACCGCGCAACTTAGTAATCATATACTCGTATATTATAGTTCTACAACAAAAAACATTACTATTCTTTAAAATACTTATATATCTCATATGTAAAATTAGCAAACATTGAAAAATTTTATAGAAAGAAACGTGATAAACACGAATACTATTTTAATTACTCGACATCTTGCGTTATAACCAATTTGAATTTCGTTCATCAAAGGACCGATATTTACGCAAATTCGCGGTAGCGAGCGATAAATTCACAGCGGCGGAAACAATCGAAAGCCAAAGGCAAGCGAATTAAGTGGCGCTCCCTTCGAAGCATAAACAAGTGTTAGGGACGTGAATGGGATCACGTAAAAAACAGATTTCCACCCTCAGCAACGCGGACATTCTCGCGCACGAAACACGATTTCAGACGAGCGGTCGCCAGGAAGGGCGGGAAAAGGGGATAGGGACTAACGTCGTAAGCGATCCCAGGGGCTCGTCAGGAACGATCTTATGATTGACCGCGTTATGCCACTCCCTGAAGACCGTTTTTCAAAAGCTATTTCGGAAACGCCGCCATCATCAACATACTTCAACGAGCAATCATGGAGAAATACTCTAAAGTAGATTACTAATTCAAAGAAGTATAATCTATTAATTTCATAACTATGAATCTCTTTTATAGAACACAAATTTTTGAAGGAAAAAAATATTATTATTTAATATATTAAAGGATATTGTACTCTTCTTTATAAAATTGGAGCAAGCCACTGTCTAAAAATTTTTTTAAAGACCTAATTGAAAATTACAACATCTTTTACAGGTTCGTTTTGTTTTTAGAAAGAGTTTATAAATGAAAAGTAATATATATTTTTTTAATAATTGCACATACAACACACAATTCGAGTATTTTTAAAAAGGAGCTAGATTATGGTTAATTTAAAGCTTCGTGCAATCGTTAAATTTCTACTCACCCTTCTTTTCATCCTCTTCCTCTCCATGATCAGCAGCATGATGAAGATGATGTACAGTAGGATGATGCCCAGTGATCGCCGGTACTAGGGAATGATTGCTCAACGTCGGATGAGGATGATGCGGATGATGATGACTGAGGAATCTGACTGCAGCGGCAGCGGCCTGATGCTGGGCCTGCATGCTCTGCTGGACCTGACTCTGCACCTGACCCAAAACCGGATGATGCGGCGGCCATCCTGCCAAATGGAAAGGAAACACAGGCGTCGTCCTTTGGAATAACCTGGTCGGGGCCAGCAAGGATCCTCCGGAGGCGCTGGACCCGCTGCCAGGGGGCAACGGAAAGGACAGACCGCCTCCAGGTTCCAGGACCATCTTTGGTACCAATTCGCCGGCGCTTGTCTCTCCCTTGGAGAGCGATCAGTCCGCTCGCATCAATCCCTGGGATCAGCGAAACCCGATCACCAGGAGAGGAAAAGTCACAGCCTAATCACTAGTACACTGGTGTCATGTGTCTGTCAAAAAGGTGAAAGATTAGAAGATATCTGGCGCTATTAGATGCTTCCAGTTAACGCGCGTTTATGTCTTCCATTTCAGGCCCTTTGAAGCATGATCACTGAGCAATACAGTCCATAGATCATCACTGTCTACAAGTCACTCGCTTGTGATAACCATTAAAACGCTTGCGAAAACTTTGATCGCGCAATTTCAAATAGATTTTTGTTCTTCCGTTCTAAGTCTTTCAGGTCATTACTCAAATCCATCCCTATCTGTGATCTTTTCGGAAAGCGATGATCTTAAAGAATGGTGGTGAGTTAGATCAGAGATCTTGTTGCTTCATAATGTGATATTTTACATATTTCTGATATTTTTGAACACTTTCAGGATCTATAAATCAATTCCGTAGTCCAAACAGTCTTAATCACTCGTAATTCCGTAATCTGATAACAATATTTTACATATTTTATAATTTTTTATGTACTAACGTTAAGTTGCCCGTCGAACAGGTGACTGGCAGAACTCCGCCAGCCGTCGGCCAGCTCAACGACGTACCCACAACTTTTAAATGATCTTTCTCTAACTAAATTCAATCAGTATCACAAATTAAGTTATAATGTATCAATCATACTTCTATGTATCGATGATTTTAAATGTAGATTGCACCACGTATAAATATAACTGTCCTTCACTTACTAAACTCATCGATTGAAAACTGACGATCTCTCACGAACGTTTTTTTGAAAAGTCCATCATAGAATATTTAATCTGTGACGTCACTGGAAGTCTCACGATTCACGGGAGTGATTTTTCTCGGTGTACTCCAAAATTCTATGCACGCTGAGATCGAAACACCTAATTACGCACGTTTGCGACACTTTTTTGGCCACGACACGTCACCGGATGTACTTCCGGGTCCTCGCAGTTCCCGAATACGTGCGCGTGACAGGCGGGTCTCCGGGATTTTCTTGATAGCAAGGACCTGCTGGTTAAGACCACTGCGGCATGAGCCAACGGCACAATACTATCTGCCTCGAGACTCGAGTCAACGACTCCCCTCTGTCCGCGAAACTGAAACTGGTTTCAAGATCCGCCCAGAAGCGCGCAATTGGCCGAGCCCACCGCGAGCTCGTGGGTTATACGGAATGTCGGACCAATGCGGGCGCGAGAATTATACGGACGGTGCCACCCTCCGGACGCTTTTTTCGTCCTGGAATTGAATCGACGCCTGCCTGCGGTGCCTAGTGGGGGCGAATCAATTGGTGGCTGCCCTGAAACAGGCCGCAAGATGGCTCCTCCCTTCCCACAGCCGCTGCGAGATACCCTTGCCGATCTCATCGGTCGAGGCATTCGGATTCGATCCGAGTTGGATTCGTCGTAATGGACAGGCAAAATATATATCAGTGAATTGTGTGGTTGTTTATTGCCCAACATTGTTGTCTCGTCTTTCGTCCATTTTCTTCTTTCAAATGAAAGCTTTTAGAAATTTAACTTCTCGACTCACAGACACTATATAATTTAAATTTTAAGTCTAATTTAAAAATTGTGTTCAATAATTAGTATAAAACGGAGTATGAGTACAACAGATAATTTAGCGTTAAGAATATTGTGCGGCAAGAATTTAAACAGGTAATTTAATTGACGCTCCGAAAGATTTCTGCGTGTTAAATTTTTAATCACCATTAAATTATTAATGCTTTTCAACAAATTTCGAAATTAAAATATCTTGAAAATATCTCTCTCTCTCTCTCTCTCTCTCTCTCTCTCTGATATATCACGGATGATATTCCATATGGAATATCTTATTGATAAAATTAATGAAATAGGAAACCCTCCTCGGGTCTCGAGTGAACGGACGAGGAAGAGACACCCCCATGATCACGCACCACCACTCTCGCTGCAATCCCCACTCCGGAAACTTCTTCCGCCCCTCCAACCCCCGAGGGCGCGATCCTCTTTTAATAAAAGGAGCTCGGAGGCGTTAAGTAATTACATCTATTCTCTACTGGGGAGGAAATTACCTGCGCCGGGTCGGTGTGGGAAAAATTGGGAAATTAAAATTAACCCCCACCCCAACTGAGCCGTGCGCGCTTGCTCGCCTGTTCTGCCCCCTTTCTCGGATTGCGCGCTCGACCGGAACACTTCGTTCTCGAATTTAGGAGGAGCCGGCGGCCATTACCGCTTACGTAATCTTTTTTTGCACAGTGACGGCGGCAGCTTGTTAGCGAAGTTATTTAGCACGCGATTCGCTCCCCGTTCGTCGACGAGAACCGAGAGAGCCAGCACTCATCTATCATCTCTGGATATTGTTACCAGAGTAACACTAATAAAGGACAATACATTTCAACGCTCATTGTTTTATATCCAAATGAAATTTCAGCGTTCTTCTCATTTCAACAGCTATATAATTTCTAATCAATCAAATAATTTACGATGTACTAAATTCTTTTGTAGTATATTATATGAATATACATTTTGTACGTTGTTTATGATCCAATAGGCTTATTTCTACGTAGTTGTGTAACATATCGGTTAACTTTTACTTAATATGATATCATATTGACATATTATTTACAATACGTATTTTTCTCAAATATTCTGCACACACACACACACACACACACACACATACACATACACACACGCACACAAAATCGCTTGACAAGATAATTTGGCAATAATTATATATTTTCTTTTTACTGTAACTATTGGTATTTTGTCTCTACAGAATCATTTGCATAATAAACCTAGTAGCACAATTCATCGGCGTAACATTGGCTCAACATATCCTCAATGTATGCCAACGTTTAACCAATGTTTCGCCAATGAATTGTGCTGCTCGGGAAGTGTTCAAAATAATTTTACTGGACTTCATTTGTATAGTCGATATTTCTCCAAAATTATAAACTATAGACAGAAAACGAATTTATTGAATCACCACGACTCATAAGTTTGCGCAAGAGACAAAATACTTGTGAAAAAAAACACAAATTTTAACTTAAGGATATATATAATTAACGTTGTAAGAATTAACTGCTCGTTACACAAGTAATTAAATTACTTATCGATTGACAAGAAACCGTGAAGTTGATTATGCTGAAGGAAAAGGAGAGAGGTTGAAAGATGAAATATAGTCATGAAAAATTGATCGAGCACGATATCTCACGTTTAGATGCATCTTGGTGAAGGAACCAGAACACGCGCGGGTCATACATCAAATACCCGGAGGCTCTGCACTCGCGCGCGCCTGCCGCCGTGCTTTAATATAAAACTTAAATAACGACATACACAAGAGGGCAAGGGCGGAAATGGCGAATAATCTTATGAATAAGTTCTTCGCCCGGTTCAACCACGAATACCAAAGTCGCATGAGAATTCGCGACAGCTAAGAGCCTAGAAAAAAGTTGACAGAATATCTTAACTTTTCATAATTTTATATATTTATATTCTATTTTGTTAAAATAATATATTTTAGGCCTAAAGAAGTACAAAGGTTCTATATCAAATATATTAATTTTGTGTTTACCTCATCGCAATACAGGAGATATATTTAATTTATTTTGACTGTGACTTTGACGATTATATGTATATCGCAGTGCGAAATAAATTGGATCTTTTGGCTAATTCCTTTTTTGTTCCGTAACGGACTGCTATCAACTACATCCTGTATCGTTTTATCTATATATATTGATAAAAGAAAGAGGAAACAAAGCAAAAAAGAAAGAAAGAGATCAAGAAGGAGAGAGAGTTCATCTTTAATCAAGGTCAAATCTTCATTTGGCACGTCCTCGCTCGCGCCATCAAATATAATCACCCGAAAGCGCACCATCTTTTTTCCCTCTTCTGCTTTGGGACTCCTCCTCCCTTCTTCTTGCTTCGCAGAAGCCAGCACCCTTTCTCCCTTCCTTCAGACTCGTTCTTGCTCTCTCGAATTGAATCTCTCCGTGAGAGAAGAGAGGAGAGGGTGAGAAGACGAAGGAGAAGGTTGCCTTGGCAACGACAGAGGGTTTCTCGATGTGGTTGCCGAGGCAACCTGTAACCAGCGACCCCTAAATATGCGCCAGAAACCACAGAGAAGAGAGCGAGGGTTTGGGGGAAAAGTGAGGATGAGGGGCATTTAATAATCGAGTTAAATGAAAGCTTTTCCAAAAAGAAATAACGAGAGGAGTTAAACCGAAGCAAGACGTAACGAAAGATGTTCTTGTAACTTGCATTTTAAAACATGTAGTAAATACCAGCCATTCGTTGTAAATTTATTAGACAATTTTCTTTTGAGAAGATACTTTAGAAGTAGGTATGCAAAATTGGCTTTATATGTGTATAAATTTATTCTATCAGATTATTTCATTCCTTTACAGACATTAGATGTTCAGATCTGATAGAATTCCAGTTTGATACAAATATTAATAGAAACTATAGTAGAATAATAATAGTGTAATAACAGAATAATAACGTGTAATGAAAGATTTCTTTACATTGAAAACATGCTCTCAAAATAACTCTCAAAATATTCGATTCTAAAATAAGGAATGATCTTAGCGATTAACAAAGCTCGAGTAATTTTCTGGAGTACACGCAATTCAGAGACGTTAATTTCAAGGCGACGCGCTATTACGTAAAAGTCACTTTTTGCCGGAAATTAGGCTGACGCTCGTCTCGAGAGACCCAAGCGTACATAATGCGGAAGTGAGAAAGACGAAGCGAAGAGGAAAGCGGCCAGTTCCTAATTTACACAGCCGCCGCATCCTCGAAGCCCTTTCCGGCCCAGACGGAACTTTGCCGGCGATTAAAACGCTTTAGTAATTAACTAGGTCTCCTCACCTTCCGCGAGTAGCAGTTACCGCCGCCACGCCAGTAGCACTCCGAAACTCCGCGTC